CTCAAATTCACCCAAACCAGTATGTACCAATAGGAGCTATTTACTAAACTATTATTCAACCTAAAATCCAAACTGGTATCCAACAGTGAAAAATGACGATTCCGACTGTACCACTCTGGGCCACAACTCAAGATGTTTAATCTTACCCACCAGAAGAATCTCAAAGTTTATTTCCTTGATAAATGGATCCACAAAGGAGCTACAAATACAACCCTTCAGAACCACCGTTCAGATACAAATACAGCCAAGATCTCCTCCGTGCACCTCAGCCAGGCCAAAACCCTCAGCAGAATCACAGCATAAGTTCACACCCAGTTCTCCTCTCCTATGTATTCTACAGGTCCAATGTCCTCGAGGAGACACTATTTAGGATACTAATCAATATCTTAGTCCAAGGTTCCCTAGTATTTTTTTTTAAACGTAACCCCCAAAAAGTAATGAATTTATTCGCCAAAAAGAAAAACCATTTCTGTATTTAAATGAAAGAGCATTAAAATTTACAGAAGAAAGGGCTTCCTATTTCTGAAAACAGATATGTGAAACTTAATTTAGTTCCACAAGATGACAATTCAACTTCAAATAGATCACTGGATCTCGTCAAAGTGAAGGGCAAATGGATGTACCGTGAACAGGTTGTATTGTCTGGTTATATCCAGGATTCGTTGTATACAGTAAGACACACGCACACATACATTGTCCGTAGTCCTTCATGTTCAACTGATCCAACAGTCGTGGTCTGCGTTTGACCTGCCTGCGGGATAACAATCTAGTTCTTCACCCTAAAAAGGCGGGAGGATTTTTGTGTTCCGCGAAAAGTCAGACTTGATCTCTAGGACGATTGCGTTTGATGTGTGTATAATGTGTGTCTTACTGTACATTCGTACTAGTCCTGGATATCACCAGACAATAATAAAGGTAAGTGAAGCCAAATCATTTTTACAGATAAATAATACCTCGCCTAAAAGCAGGTAATTTAAAAATAGAATTTCCTTTTCTCTGTAACGAGTTTATAATACATTTACTCTAAGTTTGATTTAGTTACAGTTATATTTGTTGTAGTTAAAGTTAAGTTTTAACAAAACCGCGATAGTTTTTTAAATTTCCAACACAACTCAGAGGGTCAAAAGAAGTATGTTGATTGCGGGTTTTTGCTAATGTTAATGTAAAAACAATGTTAATGCTAATGTTAATGTTGCTAATGTAATTCGACCAAGCGAAATAGGCTATAGTCCTTTCACTTAATTGTCGTTATACTTAATATTTTCTCTAATATTTTATTAGATTGCACATACTTTAATATAAGGCTTAAGTTATTTAATTCTTTTTATGCTCAGAGGTGTACGTAGTTAGTGTTAACATTATGGGCCCCTTGCTTGACAGCACAATACATTATGTATTCTAAAAATTACCTATTTATGAAAAGAAGTCTACTAGAACGACATCAAATATAATTTTCATCACTCCGTAACGAAAGTAACTATTGTCGATAACAGATGGCATAAATGAAAGTAGTCGTTTCCCAAGGTCTAATATAGAGCGAGGCAAAGTCGATCAGAAGATTTTCCCTCGCTCTAAATTTACTTTACCTCGCTCTCGATTAGTTCTCCATTTACTTCTTACGTGCGATATTGCTTTGTTACGGTTTAATTTAATGATTTGAATCACCTGGATCTATTATTAAAAGTTGTTTTATTCTTTTATTTTGATGTAAAAAAAATATTGAGAAATATACGTAGGTTTCCTTTTAGAAGATTTTATTTTATTTGTAAAACAAATAAATCGAGAATAAAATAGTTGTAATATTACCGAGGTCTGTTATTCTGTGTTTGTGTATTTTTGCGTCGTGATAAAATGTATCGATCATTACTCGGACCGAAAGCTATTTTCCGGCATTTGCTCCATTGTTCCCGACCTCGGCTTTGCCTTGCACGCGAAAATGGTGTTTCCTGTGTTCGGCTTCGCCTAAAAAAAAGGCTTGAACGCGCCCCGGAAAATGCCACTTTCGGTCCAAGTAATGAAAATATGCTATTATAGCCTTTCCTCATTACGTATCTCTACATTTTATATTGAATGTTAAGAGTGTAAAAAAACTATTCCCTTAGTTACGAATGTTTTACCCATATTGAAAACCATCGAAGAAGTAACAGAGAATTTATATAATTTTCATTCCGTACCATGTGTTATTCAATTCTAATCGTGTAGCTGTTGGATCTGTCCATTAGCAAGCTGACCACTTTGAATATTAATCAACAAGTGAATGGACACCTTCTGTATATACTCGGTAGTAAACTATCTCGAGTTGTACCATTTCGTAATTATACAACCGGAATTTCACTTTTATGTGTTGTCTAACTTCATAATCACAAAAAAAAACTAACTAATGTTTCCTTACACCTATTTGTACGGGGAGCGTGTCGTAATACAATCATTGGTAGGATTAAATAATCACAATACCAATCAATGACACAAACATTGACTCTGCAGTCAGATTAATTATGCATCTGTACCTTACTCTGCAGTTAATTACTCAGTTAATGGAGTTTGTTATCAATTAATTGTGAAATATTTATACACAGCAGACTTTTATGGTAAATGCAGATTTTACTTATTTCAACTATTTAAAAACACTTTGTTAGCAATATGCGTACAAGAATCTTGAATATGTTTGTGAATGTAGTCCTATTGATATGATCCTGTGAATAGAATACTATTCTAATTTCTAGTAGTTTAACTTAGGTAGTTACATTTTTAGAATCAACAATTCGCTTGTATTTTGCATCACCTAAAAAAAGAGCTGTTGAACTGTATCAGACAAAATATTGGTATTTATAACTAATCAACTGCCTATGTTGGACTCAGCTGATTTGTCCTTTTTATATTTTGTTTTCGTGGTTGCTAAGATACATTATACATTACAAGATACATATTATATTTCTAGATCAAAATCTATAATAATGTATATTATGTTGAACCATAAAGAAAGGTAGACAGAATGTAAAGTTCATATAGAATGGAAACAGTTGCTTTGCCTGGAGACAGTTGTGCAAGTCAAAGTGTACAGGATATCCCTCATCATCCTCTAAACCCGACATTGTTGTCTCCCCTAGCAATATCTCTCTGTTTCCTTGATTGTTCAGTAAATATGTCAGAGTTTCGTTTCAAATCTTGATTTTTATTAGAAACCATATAAACAGATTTTATGTATGTTAATTTATAAAAACACCATTCAACAATTTATCACACAATAATTTATCCTAAGTACAATAGATAATAACTACGTTTACGTTTTATATTCAATATTGAGCTGTATAGTCCAGTCATTGAGTAGTGGAAGGTCAATTAATTTTATACCTCCACACAACAAAATAAAAAAGTCTACCAAAATCTGACGCGGAAAAGTACCTGATATTAGGGTATTTGAATTAAAATTATTGCTCCCAGAAAAAATATCTGTTAAAAACATTACTGCTATATACAATAGGGTATATAGTATATGGTTTGTAAGGGTGGGGAAACTCAACATGAAACTTAAAATGTGATTTGACCTAATTTTACGCCACAAAATGGCCTCCTAAATACAATTCATGTAGGAGAAACCTAAAAAAACGTACTTTTAGATATAGGGTGTAGTGTATAGGAAGTTACGCTGATTGTTGGTGACAATGGATGATCTAAAGAGGATCTGCCAAGTTGAACTGGCACCACAATTAAACCCTAAGAGAATTCAGGACATAATGATTTATACCAAACTTGGTACAGTCAGTCATAATGATAAAAATAGTAAACGTTTTATGGCGAGTATCATTTCACATCCCTAAGCCTCGACCGCTGTGGGCTGGCTGCATGAAGATGCTCAATTCACACATCCCAGGGTCAGTAGACCGTTGAATCTACTGAGATGATCGGTGATTCTATTCTTCAATCTATGGTAGTACTCTCAGTTACAAAACATACATTCAATAAAAAACTGCAGGTTTGTAGCTAAGCCTCATCCATTTATGTATGTGGTGATGGTGAAAAGTTGCACATCAATCCGGCACAGCGATATCAGGCTTCTAATAGCAGGAATTGGCACCATAGATCTGCAGGCACTGTTCCAATATGAATTGTGTTCGTATCCTTCATCCCTGTTTGACAAAAAACTCTTTATGCGACTTGCAGCTAAGTCTGAGCCTCTAAACGGCCTAGTTAAGATGCTACCAACCTTAAAGGAACTGCCTATCAATGTAGTTATGTATATCATCGATGGAGGCGTTCTCTTACAGTGCTTGCCATGGCCAAAATATATATTATAGTATACAATTACTTGCCAACTATACAGGGTGATCAACTCAAGGAGGCCACCATTGGGATATCAGAAACCATAAAATACACAGTTTTCCACTTTTCAACGTGTCCGCCATTTTGGAAAATATTTTTAACGAATTTTATGGTCTTTTTGGAATGTGGAGGCAATTTTAAGACTTATTTGACTTATTTACTGTAGTTTTATACAGATTGCAAACCAAAAAAGCTGAAAAAGGGTTAACTAAAAATGCAATATCAATAATATCCATCACATTTCATAAACACGGTTGTGCATCTTGCTCTTAATATAGCATAGGCCTGAGTCTGAAAACAATTGAATGGTTGAGAAACAAGCAGACACTATGTGAGGGCCGCATCGTCTAGCAGCCACTAACTTCGTCTTAACAGTTTCATATTAGTCTATAGTTACACAATTTATTATTAATTAATGGTCAATGATCAGTGTTAATTGTTTCTACTGTATTTTAGTCGTATCAATTAAAAATTTATGAGTTGTATTGTTAGTTGTAATTTAAATATTGAAGGCGTTGTTATGGATTGTTTGAATATTGAATTAGTTACGTGTTATTTAATTAGTGGACTGTATTATATCATGACGTTGGAATAATTGAGCAGTAAAATGACACATCTGAAACTTGAAAGAAAATAATTAATGAAGTCTTATCTAATAGTAAAATTGAAGTATCACTCACGACCGATCCTTTCTTCTCCGCCGCGTGGTCGGCGGCCTGGAGCGTGGAGTGTAGAATTCTCAGGGGCCCCTTGGTCCAGCGAAGATCATCCTGCCGTAGTGGATAACGTCGTTCACGGACACAAAGATAATCCGATAATCCCGGAGGCGAGACACGATAATTGTTGAATTTAAAACCGATCACGGTAAAAGAAAGTTCAAGGCACAAACTGGTGCGTGATAAGCGGTAGCGGGCGGGAATGTAGATTGACATTGACAAGAAGAAGAGATAAGAGGAAAAAGGAGTAGGTAATGCTACGTCACTGGCAGGATTGCCAACTAGGAAAAGAGGAATAACTAGCAATGAGTCTGTGTTTATGTATGTATGCCAAAATGGGCTAAACTTTAATTAAACTTGATTTTGTCCTTTTTATTTATTATTTACACAACATACCGGCCCCCCTTGAACCGGCAGGTTCAACAGAACATCTTCAAAAGAAAAAAGAAAAAGAGAAACTTGTGCTCCTGCACACTAAATAAGAGTTTTTCTGGTTAAAATCAAACAAAAAACACTTTAAATAAAACAGGGGGTATGAGAATTGAAGGATGTAGATCCTGATGTCTTCATTCCGATGGTAATAGGGAGAGTTTGATTACTGGTCGTTTGAAGACTCCAGAGGCTGTTTTTACTTCGGCAACTCTGGGAACATTGTCCTTTCCAGGGAATAAGGAAATAACTCTGCCCATTTTCCATTGGAGTGGAGGGAGATTATCTTCTTGAAGAATGACAAGATCGCCAGGGCTGATGTGCTTCTGGGGAGTTGTCCATTTTGGGCGATTCTGCAAGGTATACAAGTAATCGCGTTGCCATCGTTTCCAAATATTTTGTGCAACGGATTGAACCAATTGCCATCTCTTGAGACGGTTCATAGGAGTACTTGTCTGATCCGTTTCAGGTAAAAGAGCAGGAGGTCCAAAAGTCAAGAAATGACCTGGTGTTAGAGCTTCTAATTCACATGGATCTGAAGACAGTGGGGTAATTGGGCGTGAATTTAGCATTGCTTCAACTCTACATGTTAAAGTAGTGAATTCTTCAAGTGTGAGAACTTGCTCACCTATGACTCTTCGTAAGTGATATTTAGCACTTTGTACGGCACGCTCCCAAAGTCCTCCAAAATGGGGAGACCTCGGAGGAATGAAGTGAAAGGTGATTTCTTTCTCAAGAAGCCAAGTGTTGACAGGATGGGATTGCAGAATAATCTCTATCGTTTTCCGGAGTTGTCGAGCAGCACCGACAAAATTTGTGGCATTGTCTGAGTGTAAATTCCTGACTAGTCCTCGACGGGAAATGAACCGAGTCAATGAGGCCAAAAAAGCATCGGCTGTCAAATCTGTCACAACTTCTAGGTGGATGGCCTTTGTTGTCATGCAAATGAAAAGGCAGAGGTAGACTTTGATGTGTTGTAATCTGCGAACAGGGTAAAGCTTGACGTTGAAGGGACCTGCGAAGTCGACAGCTGAAGATTCAAAGGCTCTTGAAGGTAGAACTCTGGATGCGGGTAGGTCAGCCATTAGGGGCGCAGTGACCTTCGGTTTGAAGCGGTAGCACCGTAGGCAGCGGAAAATTCTGTTCCTTATCTTGCTTCTTGCGGATAAAATCCAATACCTTTGAGAGATGAGGGATTGTAGTGATTGCGGTCCACAATGCAGGAAGAGAATGTGGTAGTAGTCTATGATCAGAAAGACGCTGAAGAGGTAATGAAGGAGTCTGGCCTTTTTGAAGAGCAGAAATTTCGTTTGAGAAGGATTCTTGTTGTACTAGATGTAGAATGTAAACTGTAGCTTTGTTGATTTCTTGCAGTGAAAGTCTTGAAGAAGTAGTTAATGGAACAACTTGAAGAGTAGACGATTCTGACTTGAAATATTTCAAGGAGATCTTAGTTCGGCAGCGGTTGATGAAGCGTAGAACATATGCAGTTACATGTCTCAGCTTTGTCCATGAAGAAAATCTTGTAAGAAGTTCCAACTGAGGTAATGTTGTAGTTTGCAGTGCAGTTAGTTGCACAGGTTTTATATCTGGAAGTGAATGTGAACTTCCATTCAAAAATGATATTTAGAATATCATTTTAAATATCAGTTTTCACCTATATTTAAAGTAGTAACGACCTTTTCCAATCTTTCAATACATTTTACCTACAGTGAGCAAACATATTTTAACTTTCTTGACAACTACCCCTTTTTTATAAATACTTAAAAGTGATTTTTCAACACCAAATAGCAATTGCTCAAGATGTCGTCAGTATAAGATTTCCTTTCAAAAACTGTGATTGGCTCAGAGAAGCTAGAAGAAGAAGAACATCCCACAAACTAGCCAACCAGGAACAAGCTTTAAAAGCTACTAGGAAGGACCATCAACTAGACAGTGAGACCTATCTCTAGTATAGAATTCATATGACGATATCTAGAATAATATTGCATGGATTAGAGAAAAACTATCTTTTAAAAGCTTTTCTATTGCAAATTAAGCAGCTAGCATAGAGGAGAGTAGGCTAAGCAAAAATAAAATCTGGCCATCTGCAAACTAATATAGGCTTTACAAGAAAACATATTTTTTCTAAATACAAAAAATTTGCCTGCCAACAAAAGAAAATACAGCAAAAGTTAATAACAAAAAAATAGTAAAATAAATAAAATTACCCAAAACAAAAAAATCGTAAAAACTCTTGTAAATATATAAAAAAAAAGGAAACAAATAGGCTTGGAGGCTTAAACCAAAAAGTAGCCTAGGGACAGTCACAAAGGGGAAAGAGTAACTTACTGAGTTACGTAAACAAAACTGGAAATAATGAAAACCCCTAAACTTAGGCAAAGTATTAAAACAAATAATAGATCTACTACTAAACCTTCCGACAAACTAGAAATGATTAGACCTAAGGACAATAGCTCCACACCAGCGAGCCGAAATAACACTCAGCCTAGCTCACCTCAGTCGCAGCCTCTCTGCCCTGTTTGTAAGGAGGATGTATCTGAGGAATGTGAGGCAGTGACTTGTGACAAATGTGAATCATGGCACCACAGACTGTGCGGTAAAATTAGTAAAATCCTTTATAATAAAATAAACAACGCCCCCTCAAATAAACCTATTGAATGGCTCTGCCCTGAATGCAAAAAAAAACTCACTAAAGCAAAAGAAACCCACAAAAGCAGGCCTACACCCCTTGGTCAAATCCAAAATCTGGAGAACACTCAAAATACAAAACCACCCGAAGATAAGACCTCACAATCACTATCAAATGCAGAATTCAATGAAACTCATGAGGAAAAGAAACTAAAACAATATGAATCTTTAATAGATATTCTACTTCAGGAAATTGACTCTTTAAGACATGAACTCAACCTAAAGTCTGATGAAAATAATAGGCTCTCTGAAAAAATTGTAGTAAAGATGGAAGTAATATACAAACTGGAAAAATTGGTACATGACCTAACAAAGGGAAATTTATATAATCTTGCCTCCCCAGAAAACCCAACAACCATGGAAATATGCAAAAATACACAAAGGCCCCTAGAAAACTCATCTAAACCCAACAATACCTCAAAAACTGATGATAAATTGGCTAACAATATTAACCACCCAGAAACAAATAGGCCTAAACGCCAAAAAATTCTCTTAGTCGGAGACTCGATAATATCGGAAGCTGCAGGCTTGCTCCGGCAGAAAGGACTACAGTCCCATGTAATGCCTGGCGGTAAAATAAGAGACCTGAGCAGATACCTAAACAGCCTAGATGCACTCCCCGAAATTGTCTACATCCACATAGGAACAAATAATCTACCCGATGCAAAAAACGCAAACCACATCATGCGGCCTTTGTGGCTTACCATTGAAGCAAATAAAAAAAGATCCCCAACTACCACTTGGATAGTGAATGGAATACTCTACAGAGAAGACTACTATTCCCGTACAATCTCAGAAGTAAATGACTCGTTTAAATTTATGTGTGAACAGCTAAATGTTGGATATGCTAACCCTAACAAAAGACTGAACTCAGACTCTTACAGAAGGGACGGACTCCATCTGAACCAAAGAGGAGCACAGAATCTGGTGAATTTCATCGAAGGAACCCTGTACTATTTTACTAAAGCAGAACTAACAAAATCAGAAAAAAATGTAACAAACCCGGAAAAACGGCCCGAAACCCCAAAACATATAGGCCTAACTGAAATTTCAACATGCCCAGATCCTAATGCATCTTTCGACCGATCTCAACTCCCCCTGCAGATACAAAGCCCAGTTACCCAAAACACTCCAGAAAAATGTCAAGAAAATAGACCATCACAGCACGGAACCCCATCACAGGACCTGACAAACAACCAAAAAAACTCCCCAAACTTCAAACAAACCCCTCAAAAAAACTAAACCAAAGCAATAGACCTAACCAAACCAATAGACCCAGCACACCTATACCCCAAAAAGCTACCAAAAAACCGATAGCCAAAACTACAATAGAACAAGGACTAAAAATCTTTCATTTAAATATACAAAGAGGCCTACAACGAAAAATAGATAAATTTCTTATAGAAATTAGCGACTTAAAACCTCATATACTTATCATCACCGAACATGGTACACAAAGTGAAAAACTTGAAATAACCCACATACCAGGATACAATTTAATTTCTCACTTCTCAAGAAGATCTCATAGATGGGGTGGGGTGGCTATCTACACCATTGAAGCAATGCCACTAAATGTGGAAAAAGTAAACATGGAAGCCTATACAGATGAAATGAATATTGAACTGGCGGCAATAGAAATTAAGGAAAGGAGAAGAAACCTTCTAATCTTGGGACTCTACAGACCACCCAATGGGGACCTACAAACTTTTTTCTCAAACCTGCAAAACCTACTACACACTCACTCAAAACCCCGGAAGAAGATCATCATTATGGGCGATTCAAACCTAAATATAATCGACAAAGACAAAAGCAACATCAAAGATCTTACTGCTCTACTAAATATTTTTGACATAAGAATAGAAGAACTGCCCCATACCAGAATTACACACACTACAAAAACTAGTATAGACTGCTGCTACACAGATATAAACCCTGCAAATATAAAATCCGAAACCACACAAAACTTTATTTCCGACCATCTCGGAGTTTTCTGCAAAATAAACCTTTTCAATCCTAAACCATCAAATATAAAAAAATACTCAAGACAGATAACAACTAAATCCCTCTCTGATGTAAAACATGCACTATCAAACGTGGACTGGTCAATAGTTTATCGACAGAAATGCACAGAGGAAAAATATAATACATTCCTAAGAACCATCGTGGAAATCTTGCAGACACACATGCCAAAGACCTACAAAACCTTAAAAAATGGCAATAATGGCATAAACGAATTCATTTATGATGACAATATAAATGAACTACGACAGGAGATGAAACACTCACACCTAAAATACTTAACAACAAATAGGCCTGAGGATAAAGCTACTTTTACAGAAACAAAAAAGAAGTATGACTCCGAAATAAAACTAAAGAAAAGGTCAAAAATATCATCTAAAATTGAAGAATCAAAAAACAAAAATAAAGAAATCTGGAGAATCATAAATAAAGAAAGAAATAAAAACCCATACAACAGAGAGAATATTATGCTTAGGGAGGGAAATGAAATCATCTCGTGCCCAGAAAAAATAAGTGAACTTTTTAACGACTATTTTATCAAAATCGGAGGCTCTGCTGAAAACTCCCACAACAACAGGGAAATATCGCAAGAACAAGAAGAAATGCAAACCCCTCAAGAACCCTCACTAGGAATTCTATCAAAATTCAATACAATAAACAAAACCGAATTAAAAAATATATTTAAAACTTTTGATTCAAAAAATGTCTGCGGCTTTGATGAAGTCCCCAACTCTGTTATAAAATACTGCAAGGAAGAACTAATAAACCCCCTACTAGACATCATAAACAGTTCAATCCTAAATTCACATGTACCTGATAAAATGAAAATAGCAACAATTTACCCAAAATATAAAAAAAGGAGAAAACAATTTAAAAACAAACTACAGGCCAATCTCAATACTACCCACCCTCTCAAAATATATAGAGAAAATAATTTTTAACCAGATAATGGACCATCTAAACGAAAACAACCTCCTAACTGAAAAACAACATGGTTTTAGACCTCAAAAATCCATTACTACAGCAGTATTTCAATTCTGTGACTTTATAACAAAAAACTGGGAAGAAAATAACAATGTCATAGGAATATACCTGGATATAGAAAAAGCATTTGACAGTCTAAACTGGAAAACCCTTATAAGTAAATTAAATGCACTTAACATAAAACAGGACGCTCAAAAATGGATCAAAAGTTATCTCACAAACAGAAAACAACAAGTAGAAATAGGCTATATAAAAAACAACATTGAACTTAAAACCAAATCTAGACTTCAAGATATGACCCAAGGAATTCCACAAGGAAGCATCCTCGGCCCCCTCCTATTCATCATATATATGAACAATTTTCCAGAAAACCTGCCAACAGGAACGGACTGTATTATTTTTGCCGATGACACCACAGTACTAATCCCTCGAGATCATCACCTCATAACTAACGGAGGAATAGAAAATATTTTAAAACATATCGAGCAATTCTGCAAATCAATAGACCTTAGAATCAATAACGCCAAAACTGTTACAATAGAATTTTCCTGCAAATCAAACCCAAACAAAGCCCCTCTAGGTAACTCAAACCCAAACAGATCAGACCATACCAAATTTCTGGGAATAGAAATAGACGAAAACCTAAAATGGGAACACCATATTAATTCACTGCAACAAAAACTATCTACATCAATCTATGCTATGAGAAGGATAACTAACCTAACCGACTTTACTACAGCTAAAATTGCCTACCATGCACTCATAGAATCACACCTCCGCTTTGGAATAGTTGCCTGGGGCGCAGCAAGTACAGACCTTTTCCAATCAATTTTCATATTACAAAAGGAAGCAATAAGAACCCTAAATAATACCCACTATCAAGAACATTGCAAACCATTTTTTATAAAAAACAAAATTCTCACATTAACATCCTTATACTTGATTGAAGTGATAACCCAAACAATGAAACTGAATCCCACTAAACGATCAGAAACTCATAACTACAACACCAGGAAAAAAACCGATCTGAACCTACCGCAACACAGATTAGAAAAAACAGCAAAAACCCCAACATATAGAGGGATGAAACTTTACAACTTATTACCACATCGGCTAAAAGCTATTACAGACCCGAAAAAAAATTGCTAACCAACTGAAAAACTATCTCCTCGAACGACCCTACTACAGTTTAAATGAATTCCTGGATGACCATACTTTTAACAGAAGACAATAAAAAACCAAGATACAACTAAGAAGATAAAGATAAAGAAAAAGATGACGCCTCCCCCATTCTTGATGACTGCGGAGGAGAAGAACAGCAGTAAGCAGTAAGTAAGTAAGTAAGTAAGTGAACATGACAACTTGAATGATGTAGTGGGCCAGAGTGATTGAGAGAGCTTGAACCAGTCAGGTCCTGTCCACCAAAGTGGGTGGTTGGCCAATAGCGAAGGGAGTAGTCCTCTAGATCCACAATCAGCTGGGTTCTGTTCTGAGGTGATGTGAGACCACACAATTGGGGTAGAAGTTTCTTGAATTTCTGCCACACGATTGGAGACAAAGGTTTTGAGGCGATAGGCAGCAGTATGTATCCATGATAAAGTGATAGTTGAGTCACTCCAAGCGAACACTTCATTGATCGTTAAGTATGTACTAAGACAAGAGACACAATATTGGATTAGTTTGGAGAGGAGATGAGCTCCACAAAGTTCCAAGCGTGGTAGAGATAAACGCTTTAGCGGTGCAACACGAGACTTTGCTATCAACAAATTGGTTGTAACTCCGTGGTCCTCCTTTTCAACTCTAAGAATCACTGAGGCGCAATATCCTGATTCGCTAGCATCACAAAAACCACGAATTTGGATATTTTTTGCTTGGTAAGTATCTACATGCCTAGGTATTTGTATCTCTGCAATAGAGGGTAGCTCCTTCAGAAATGAAATCCACTGTGAAGATAATTCACTCGGTAATGGATCATCCCATTTCAATCCTTTAGTCCATAAGACTTGCATGAAAGCTTTAGCCCAAAACAAAGGTGGAGTGATCCAACCCATTGGATCAAATAGTTGAGCGATAGCAGAAAGAACTGCTCTTTTGGTTAGCGGTAGATTGGGAATTGTAACAGTGTACGAAAATGAATCAATTTCTGGAAGCCATTTTATGCCTAAAACGTTGCATGATGATTCTTTCTCTGAAAAGAACTGTAGAGGTACGCCATGGTGATCTGTTGGTATTGCATTTAGTAAGTTCTGACAGTTAGAAATCCACTTTCTGAGTTGAAAGCCACCTTTGGACATTAACCTAATTACATCATCCTGCAACGCTAGAGCTTCTTCTTCGGTATTTGCTCCAAGTAAAGCATCATCGACATAGATTTGACCACGAAGAGCATTGGCTGCTAGAGGGTGGTTTGAACTTTCATCAGCGATAAGCTGTTGCACGACCCGATTTGCCAAAAAAGGCGAAGAAGCCATGCCATATGTGACAGTAGTAAGCTTGTATACTTGTATAGGCTGTGATACATCATATCACCCGTAAATTAATTGGAAATTACGATCCTCTGGATGAATCCAAATATTTCTAAACATTTGACGAATGTCACATGTAAACACAATGCGGTGTTGGCGGAAGCCCATGATGATGGCTGGAATGTCGTTGTGTAGTTTTGGTCCAGAGTGAAGAATATGATTTAGTGACAGACCAGAGGAGGTAGCAGCAGAAGCATTAAAAACTACACGAATTTTTTCTCCTCGGAGAACTTCATGATGAGGGAGAAAGAAATGTGGTTGTTCCAATGCAATAGGTGATGAACAACGTACCATGTGACCTGAGTCTTCGTAACCTTTCATAAAATCTACATATTTCTTCCTTAATTCTGGGTTGCGGTTTAGTCGATTTTCCAATGATTTGAAAATGCAAAGGGCAGAAGAAGAATTCCCAAGAACTGGGGGAGATTGCTTGAATGGTAGACGTACTTGAAATTTTCCATCTTTACACCTGCTATAACCTTCTCTAAACTGGGTTTCACAATTCAGTTCATCTGGAGAAAGTGATGGTGCATCAGGCACATTTTCTTGAAGCCAAAACTTCTGAATTGACTGGTGAAGATCAGTATTTGTAATTGTCAGTAGATTAATTGATGAAAAGCCTTCTACAGGTTCGACAGGTGTATTGCCGATCAATACGTAGCCAAAGACTGTATTCAGTGCAGTTGGCATATCATCACCAAGAGGGATTGCATCACCCTTTAGCGTACTGGCAAAGAGATCAGCGCCAATTAGTAAGTCGACAGGAGCGGGCGTATCAAAAGTAGGATCAGCTAGAACAAGGTTGAATGTACGATCCTTAACCTCTCTTGATATGTGGCAAGCAGGTAGGTTAGTAGTAATGTTATCGAGTACAACAACTGGATGATTTTTCGCAACCACGTGGCCTCTCATTGAAGTAATGTTCAAAAAACAGAGTCCTTTAGTGGAGATAGTAGCAGATGATATTCCCAGAATTTTATGACTTGATGATTTTACTTGAGAAATTCCTAATCTGCGTGCACATGAATCACTGAGAAAACTTTTAGTACAGTAAAAATATGTTTTGACCCAAAAAAAATTAGCACAACCGGGGAATTTGGCACAGATGTTGGGTGTACCTTCCTTTTGAACATACTAAAAGTCCCCTAAAATTGAAGCTGTGCTACGGCCGCCATATTGGAAAATGGCGGCATATTTCTGTATTTTTCGCTATAGTAACTTTATTATTAGAGATACAGGAAAAAGCTAAATGTACAAAATGTAGGTCATCTAAAAATACACATTTTTTGTATTTACCATCTTTCTCTAAACCCAACGGTTTTTGAGTTATTTGTTATTAAGTATATTTAGTTTTTTCTATTTATTAAAAATAGGTGAAACACATGGAAATTGACCTTACCTTCAAGGATTATGATAATTTATCCTATTTAGTTAAATAGTGTGATACTATAAAATCTAAAAATTTAAGCTTATTTTACGAGTAAAACAACTCCGCCACAGCAAACCTGCAGACTCAGCAATTTCCATTTGATTAGATGTTTTATTAAAAAATGTATATAAATAAAATTAGGTTCAACAGGTACCTAGGTTTGCTGCTACAGGTAGGTTATTATAGTGTGTTTTTTTAAGTAAAATATCAATACCTTACTATAAAATAACTAATTTTCCAAGTTTGATCAAAATATATCTATAAACAAGCAAACTGCAACAGTTAACTAATTCATAAGAATAGCATGGGAGTTTTGAATTTACAATAAACAAATTTGAATATACAAATTTTAGTTGTGTTTACTAAAAAGATGGCGATTATTCGTCACGATTAGAATATTAACCAAATGGGGTTTCAAAATGATATTTAGCCTGTTATTTAAGTAATATTAATTCGTACCAAGCACCGAAAATATTGTATGCAGTAAGGTAAACTACCATATTTTGTAAAGTACGCAATACTCATATTAATATTTTATCTTCATTTTAGCGAATTTCCCATATAGGGAATAAGCTATTACCGTAGTACTCATGGTAAGACCTGGACCGGGGACCGATTTACTTTTTCGTTTTGAGGTCCCTAGAGACCAAAAACACCATCCGTTCAAATTCATATATATATATATATTTATATATGTGTCCGTTAGCGCGATAACTCGAGCAAAAATCATCCGATTTTGATGAAATTTGGCACAAACGTGTAAACCTACGTTTATTCGAACGAGTTCGCGAACCAGCATGATCGGACTATGGGAACATGGGGACTTTATGGGGGGTTTTATGGGGAAAAAATTGGTTTTTCCCATTTTTTACCCTAAAAACTAAAAATTTAGCATTTTCTTTCCAAACCATTTTGTAGAGATTAAAAAAACAAATAATTTAGTGTATTGAAGCGTTATTATGCGCCTAATGGTTACAGAGAAAATTCCAAAAAACTGTAAATTTAAAATTCCCATGTTATTCTTATGGAGAATAAGTAAACTGTTGTAGTTTGCTTGTTTATGGTCATATTTTGATCAAATTTTGAAAATGCATTCATTTCATACTAAACTATTAATTAACATTTTACAAAAAAAAAACACGTTTTTACCCTCCCTGTTGCAGCAAACCTAAGTACTCGTTAAACTAATGTTATTTAAATAGGGAATAAATTTGATATTTTTAAAGAGACATTTTAGTGTAAATCGAATCAGGCAAATGGAAATTCGCTTAGTCTGCAGGTTTGCTGCGGCGGGGGTATTTTACCCATTTAATAGTTAACATTTTAGTATTGTGATGGCACCACCACACTAACTAACTATACTTGACATCCCATTGTAAATTTGGAAGGGTGTTTTTCGTGTCTAGTTCATGTTGGTGACTAATTAAGTATGGTATAGTATAGTTAGTTTTATTTATCAAAAATCTGTGAAACCCATCGCAATCGACGGTTACTTTCAAGGTTTACGACAATTATTCATCCCACTTAGTTGATATCAGAGTGATAGTGGTAGTGCCATCAAAATATTAAAATGTTAATTTATTAAGTGAGTAAAAATGAGTATAAAATATTAATATGACTATTGCGTAGTTTACAAAATATGGTTGATTTCCTCACTGCATACAATATTTCCGATACTTGGTACGAGTTAATATTACAGTACTTAAATTATTTGCTTCATCTCCTTTTGAAAACCCCTTCGGTTAGTATTCGAAACGTGATGAATAATCGCCATATTTTTAGTAAACACAACCAAAATTTGTATATTTAAAGTTGTAAATTGTAAATCTTAAGCTACCATGCTATTATTATGAATTAGTTAACTGTTGCAGTTTGTTTGTTTATAGATTTATTATGATCAAACTTGGAAAATTAATTATTTTATACTAAGTTATTGATATTTTACTAAAAAAAAAACACACTATAATAACCTACCTGTAGCAGCAAACCTAGGTACCTGTTGAATCTAATTTTATTTAAGTACAATTAATAAAACATCCAATCCAATGGAAATTTGCTGAGTCTGCAGGTTTGCTGTGGCAGAGTTGTTTTACTCATAAAATAAGCTAAAATTTTAAGATTTTATAGCATCACACTATTTAACTAAATGGGATAAATTATCATAATCCTTGAAAGTAATGGTCAATTTCCATGTGTTTCACATATTTTTGATAAATAGAAAAAAATTAAATATACTTAATAACAAATAACTCAAAAACCGTTGGGTTTAGAGAAAAATGGTAAATACAAAAATGTGTATTTTTAGATGACCGACATTTTGTATATTTAGCTTTTTCCTGTATCTCTAATAATAAAGTCAATATAGCGAAAAATACAGAAATATGCCGCCATTTTCCAATATGGCGGCCGTAGCACGGCTTTAATTTTAGGGGACTTTTAGTATGTTCAAAAGGAAGGTACACCCAACATCTGTACCAAATTCCCCGGTTGTGCTAATTTTTTTTAGGTTATTGGAATTTTTCTCTTATTTTTACTGCACTATTTGTTGAGCAGCGCTATCGAGCACAGCGCGTGCGACAATATTATTTCCATTGGGAGTGCATACATTTACTAGGGCTGTTCCTAGTAGAACTACATTGTTACTGCAATGAGATAAACCTACTAAGACCGTAGCATTTGATGTAGAGCCCTTAGTTGCAGAGGTATTGCTCTGTGTGGGTTCAGAAGGGGCATTGCTAGCAGCAGAATTAGGTTTTGATCCATCAGAGGTATGTTTACGAGGATTATTCCTTGATTGATATTGTTTAGAACTGTTGAGACATTGGTTAGAGGGTTGATGGTTGCTTTGTGCATTCAAATGAAGCATAGTATGATGTCGACGTTGACATATATTACAAGATCGGAGAGAGTTGCAAGTTCTGACATTATGTTGACCCAAACAATTATTACACAATAAGTTGCTTTGTACAAACTTTAGTCTATCTGATGGGGTTAAATTAGAAAATCTATAGCATTTGTATATGACATGATCACACGAAGAGCAGAAGTTACAATTATTTTGCGCAGTCAATAGGGCAGTGCGGTTTTGGTAAGATCCACGAGTAGACTTGAATGCTACTTGATTACTCGAAGAACTCCTTTGCATACTGGCGTTGGTTAAGATTCTTGAAGGTACAAGTGAGAGATTAGCTGCCTCTAGTTGATTGCATTGGGTTTCAATAAAATCAATGAGTTCCTTGATGGTTGGTACCTGTTGTGAATCAGTCCTATCATGTTCAAACTTGGATCTGAAATCATTATCAAATTTCCTGAGGAGATATATAGTCATAAATATGCTCTCATCTTTGAGGTCCTCGTTTAAGGCACGCAAGGCACTAATGTTTTCCTGTAGGGATGACACAAATGATCTCATTTGTTTTACAGAGCTATTATGTACAGAAGGCAAATCAATGATATTATTTATGTGAAGTGTTATCAATAGCCTAGAATTGTTGTAGCGCTTAATCAGTTGCTGATAACCAATATGATAATTGGCAGCAGTAATGGGCAATGATTTAATCAAATTTAATGGCTCTCCATGTAAACAAGACAGTAAGTAGGTAAATTTCTCGACATCCGAGAGTTTAGAGTTTTTGTGAACAGTGCTTTCAAATAAGCTATAAAAAGCTATCCATTTGTCAGCTTGGCCAGAGAATTCACCTAGCTTAAGAGTAGGGAGTTTTACACCTGTAAATTCTACTGTACCGCTGTTGACACTGGAATAAGATTGGTCCAGTCTGGGATCCGCTTTGGGAACAAGAATCGCACAGAGGCTGTGGATTTTAATATAAAGATCAGAGATTTCATCTTGGAGTTTAACAACATCAGCATCCTTAATATCTTCATCTGGTTTATCAGCACTATATAATTTACTAACCATTGACTCAAAATCATTACATTTCTTTGTAGCAGTTTCATCAATAATTTTGATTTTTGCTAAGTCTGCTTCTAGTTAAGGATCCGTCTTCTCTGAGAATGCAGTAACTTGTTGTTCAAAAGAATTCAACCTTAGTTTAATCAGAGAAGCTTGCTTAGTAAAATTACAAAAGCGCAATGGAGGCATTTTGTTTGCATAAATATTACAAGGCAGATTGTATGGACACTAGGTGCATAAAATTGAAGTTAGCGGTTGGCAACAAAAGATTGTGTAAAACATGTTCTCACTATTCCAAACTCCAATAATTGTAAAAATACCACAGAGAAATTAATTAGCCTATTTAAGCAATGAGGAAATTCTCAGAACACATTAGTTCAATTGAAATTGAGTAAGAAATTATTACTGACACATGAATATGCATATAAATGTCAGAATATAAATAGAGTAATAGGCTAAGCTTAATATCCAATGAGCATATGAACAGAGATCAGATTCATTCATACATATTGACTTGATAATATTCAATAGTAGGATACACAGTGCTAGAATTGAGGTAATGTTCAATGC